CAGCCGAACTGCAGAACTGCAGTCAGCTGAAGTAGCCTGCAGTGCTGCATTTAACCACTGCGCCACCTTGGCTCTATATAAGAAGAAGGGAAGGGAGTCAAACCCTCAGTCCATTGTTGGCAAAAGAACATAGATGTGTCGGTTGACTCATGAGGGACTTCACAGTCCTCAACTTACAACTGTTCATTTAGTGACCATTCGAAGTTCCAACAGTGCTGAAAAAAAGTGACGTACGACTATTTTTCACACATAACGACGATTGCAGTGTCCTCCATGATCATGTGATCAAAATTCAGAGGCTTGACGACTCACTAACTTGCGACGGTTGCAGAGCCCCTGGGGTCACGTGGCTGATTTTTGCGACCGTCTGACAAGCAAAACCAACGGGGAAGCCTGATTCACTTAACAACCGTGTTATTCCCTTAACAACTGCCCTGATTCACTTAACGCCTGCGGCAAGAAAGGTTGTAAAATGGGGCGAAACTCACTTTACGAACATCTCACTTATCAACAGATATTTGGCTTCAACAACCACGTTGCTCACTTTAAAACTGCCGTGGCAAGAAAGATCGTGAAATGGAGCAAAAGTCACTTAAGAAATGTTTCACTTAGGAACAGAAAATTTTGGGCTCGAGGGTAGTCATAAGCTGAGGACTACCCGCATTCATAAATGCTGAGTCCCACCTCAAGAGTAGGGGCTACTCATAGTACCTGCTATTCTTATAGGATCTCAGTCTTCCTGTACTACTGAAAGATGACAGCCTAGACTAGGGATGTCCAACTTTGGCAACTTTAGAACTTGTGGACACAGAATTCCCCAGCTGAAGTCCAGAAGTTGACAGGATTGGACACCCCTGAGTAGACTTTCCCAGTCTGTGATTGGTTGGTTGGTTGGGTTGGGTTGATTGGTTGGTTGGTCAGTGCGTTGGTTGATTGGTTGATATCCCATCTTTTAATTCTGGAGATGAAGGCAATTAAGCTCTGTGTCCCTTCTTCCTATTTTTTCCCTCAACTTTCCAGTGACTTAGGTTGGAGAGGGAGGGAGGGAGAGAGAGAGAGAGAGGGTGGGGGAGGGAGAGAGAGAGATTGGTCCAAGGTAACTTAGGGGGGGCTGATTGTAAACTAGAATCTCATCTACTCACCTCTACGTCACTGTGGCCATCGGGTTGAGCAAGAATGAATGGCTCTAAATGGCATTGTTGGTTTCCTTGTTGGAGGATGGACCAAAATCTAGATCTCCCTGCACCTAGTCTTACCAATAAAGCACACTGGCTCTCCTCTAATGAGTTTGGAACTGCATTACCTTGAACCCTCCTCTAGATATTGGCCCAAAGAGGGATGGAATTCTGAAGGTGGAAAGCCCACCTCATCTGGAGACCCAACTGAGGGATGTTCTCCTAGATGCAGGCCACTCAATCAATTGCCTTCCGAGAGGAATTCTAATGCTGATTATGGAATCCTGAGGGATGGAACATCCAACCTCGGCCCTGGTTTTGTTTTTGTTTTTGTTTTATTTTTGACATTTCGCCATTCTTCTCAGTGAAGAAACATCTCCCCATCCCAAAGTTGACTTCTCTCATTACTCACCGCAGCCATGCACCTGTTTGGCCTAAACTGGCACCTGCAGCCGATGGAAGGGCAGATGTTTGAGATCACAGAAGACACAGCCGGCCGTTGGCCAATGCCAACAGACGTCCCCTTGTATTCCTCAGGGGGCACAGGGTTAGAGTTACCCGAGAGAAAAGGCAAAGGAGCTGGCGAAGGTACGGTTGGTGTGTTTTCCTTGTGTGTCTCGCCACCCTCATAACATCACGCCCTTCCCCCTCCAGTTGCCACTCCATTCCAGAATTTTCTAGAGCGCACCCACTCCACACCGTCATCTCTCCCTTCGCCGATGCTGACACGAAACGTGCATTATCACACCACCACAATCCAATCCAGAGCCATCCGTCAAAGGGTGTGGGGGGGATACCTCTTTCGTGTGTGTTTGTTTACTGTGTGTTCTTCCAAAATTCTCCTGTCTTCGCTGACATGTGTTGATGATTTAAAATAAGCTTGTTTTAATGCTCCTTGTTTTTCTCCCCACACAGGGATACCAAATGTCAACGTTTCTTCCTTAATTATGCTTCATTGTTGTTGTTGTTTTTCATGGTGATTTTGTTGGTAAATGTAGGCCTAACGCCCAAATGCATTTTTTTGAAAGCTTCCTGAAACCACAAGTTTCAACATCCCTCACTAAATTGAGATCAGAGACTGAATTTATTCCGTTTCGAAAATCAGGTGGGAAATCTACAGGGAGTCCTCCACTTCTGATCACAATTGGGATCAGAAAATTTGGCATTAAGTGGTGCCGTCATTAAATGAGGACTTAAAAGTGACCACAATTATTATTATTTTTTTGCCGTAGTCATTAAGTGATTCATCATCACCTGATCACGATTTGTGACCTTTTCCTGCCGGCTTCCCCAATGACTTTGCATTCGGGAAGCTGGATTTGTTTAACAGCCACATGATTCACTTTGTGACCGCAGTGACTCGCTTTACAGCCATGGTAAAAATGTTCATAAAGTCAGATCCAGGCACGTGGTAAGTTGATTTACGACTACTACTTTCGATCAAACCGAAATTATACTCCCAAGAGCCGAGGTGGCGCAGTGGTTAAGGTGCAGTACTGCAGGCCACTTCAGCTGACTGTTATCTGCAGTTCAGCGGTTCTAATCTCACCGGCTCAAGGTTGACTCAGCCTTCCAGCCTTCCGAGGTNTTTAGCGTTAGGTTTTTCGTTACGTTAACGGTTAGGGTTAGGTTTAGGGTTAGGTTTAGGGTTAGGTTAAGGGTTAGGTTTAGGGTTAGGTTTGGGGGGGTTAGGGTAAGGTTTTCGCTTTATTTTTACATTTTTCGATCTTTTTCGTCGCGTTGTGATGACGTCACATACGCGATTTCGTCAACCGCGCTTTTGTGGAACGCGGTTTTGACGGATCACGACAAATTATATTAATTCCTGCTGTATAATTATTTAATTACATTTTTGAAAAATAAGCATGTCTGTTTTCTAGGTATCTTGCACATTACCAAATTAAGATATGTAAGAGTTTGTAACAACATATACTAGCCACACAAGGTGTATGTACATTCCTCTTTATTTAATACAGCACAGACACATGACACATACAAAAGAAAGACACTCATGAAACTCCTGCCACATTTAAAGACAGGCACATCTACTCCCAGTTTGAACACTCAAACTGATCACTTCTGATCAAATATCTGCTAATTAACTATAGATGGATTCTCAGATGAAGTCTCCAGCCAAAAGAATAATCCACACCCTGTTTGAAAAAGTGAAATTGAGATAGTACTTCCTGGATTATAGAAGCAAGAAAACCATTGAAGAAAAATAACTTTTCTAGAAAACTCAACCCATGAGTTTTTGGAGCAAATATATACTATTCACCATTTGAGTTTTCAGGCCCATGATATGATAAAATGTACTAAGAGGAAAGCATTTGTTTCCCAGTTAATTTAACTGTATTTTGAAACGGGAAAGAACCTGAATATACATTCAGAACTGGCATAGGCTTTTTGTGGCAGCAGCTTCCCCTTTTCTGTACTCCAATTTTACATGGAAAGTAAGCAGGCACCAGGTCTTCTGATAAAGAGCCTAACATACTTTAAAACAGATATTTATAAAAAGGAGAATGAAAGGGTTATTTACAAAATTCATGGCTGGTGCAGTACATCTTTTAAGACACACTATGTTACAATCTTTCAGGTCCTGAGATTATTATGGAACAAATAATTAAAATATTGTGTTTGGAATCATTGTAATAGAAGAAAAAGACCAATTTATTCTTTTAATTTTTTCAGGTTGGTAGAATACATTTCTGTAAAAAGTAAGCCAAAAACAGTTGGCACAAGTAACTAAATAATGTGTACAAGCCCTCTTATTGAGAGGAGCTATAGATCTGTTGCATGGAAAACATGTCACAAGGAAGACAAATATTCTTCCCACATGGCTCAAACCTTCCACTAATTTTAGAAATACTCAGGTTCAAAGATAGAGCCAAGCTATACACAGAACAGAATAACTGCTTCAGATATGTTTCCCAGACATGGATAATTATAGCACCACTAACTTGATAAAAATAGGTACTTTAAATAAGATTAGGAAATCTATGACCATATTTCACAAGTATCAGTGGATCAATTTTGTCAATAATGACGTCTCCTTGTTTTGTATGGCTAACCAGGTATTTTTAAAAGGGTTTTTTTGCTGAATATTGAGAAAGTATTCAGAAATATTGTTTCAATCAGGAGAAAAATACTAAAATAGAATTTCTAGATTTGTTTAACTTGAAAGCTGCACTATTGTTAGAATCAATTTATGAAAAGCATGTTCTTTTCTAGAATGACAAGTTCAGTTCAATGTTTCATATTTATATTCACATCAATGTCCAACTGCAGAATTTATCTTACAGCTTAGAAAACCTTAATATGTTTTTAATTTTAAATTGTGATACTTAGGTACTGAATATGATTAAAACATGTTTGATGATAAATGCAATATGTAACACTGCTCAAAAATTTAAATTAAATTTATTTTAAGTAAATGTTCTTGACTGAAAATACATACAAAAGAGCACCAGCTTCCACAACATGATTTTTAATCCTCTGAATTCTTCAATTCACTGCTGAAAAGTGCCAAAGAAGAAAGATATTCAGATCACTTCTCTAAAGAAGCATCTTTGTGAATGCAGATCTAATTAACTAATTGTCCTCTTTGCAAAGGTGAAACACTTATCTGATTTACTAATTTCAAATGGGAAATAGTTCTTTATCTGCATTTTTGATTATAGTCAGTAAAAGTCACCATCAGATTTTAAAAACCTAGTTTCTCAGAACCCTATCATTGTGGTGAAAATTTTCCTGCTATTTAATATTTAATTTCACTTTTACAAAAATATTTTCATAATACACACATTCAAAAAGCTTTGTCATGTTTCTTTGGGTAGACATTAACAATAGCCGGGAGGTGGTGGTATCTGTAATACTAAAAATGGAGTTTTGTAATAAGCAATTGTACTGATTACTAAAATCAAACTAAAGCATTACAGAGAAAGGCAGTGCTGGAAAGAAAATGCTAATGTACTAAGGACCAACCATCTCTAAAATCTGAGAGCCTTACCTACAATCTTTATTTATAAATTAGCTGACTTTTCTCAACTATTCCAATGTGTGATGAGACAATCAAGTATTTTCCTTTTTACCACACCAAATTAAAATATCTAATGTATTATAAAAAACAAAATTTTATAACACAAAGTATATATTACCTATATTGTTTCAGGAGCACTGCAGAGATTAAAGAATTATAAGTGGGATACATAGCTCCAAAAGTGTGTTTGTTACATAGAACAAAGATATTTCATTGAACAAAAATCGCCCCAGATGAAACTGATGAGAATCCTAGTTTCTCCAACTTCTAAAGATTGTTAAAAAGTATATAAAAAAACCCTAAGCAATAGTGTCCTGAGAAATACATTCAGAAAATAATTCTTAAAAAATAGGAACAAATGGTTCAAAGTTGTAATAACTCAATTTTGAAAACCAAATATATAGTTTACAATAAACTTCAGCATGACAACTGATTCCTTTCTTTCTAGTAAGAATTTCCTCGCTATAAGGAAGTTTCTTTAGACTCTTGCAGGAAATTCAATCTCCTTTCTTATCTGTCACTGCAATTAGAAACATGTTAACTAATTATATAAAATACTTTATATTCCTTTATCATACCAAATTGTTTTATCTGAACAAAAGATAGTTCTTTAATTTTTAGCAGTATTCAATATTATTTGAGTATTCAACCATCCATTCAGAATTGATTTGAAATAGAATGCAACTTATATTTGTTTTAAAGATCAGTAGAACCTTAATAATAATATATGGTAGTTTTAAAAAGTTAAAACTTTTACAAATACATTTTTTTAAAAAAAATGTATGATTACTTATTTTGATTGATGGGTTGCATTCTTACATTTGTCACAGATCTTGGCAACAGATTTGGTAAAAAACAACAACAGTGAAATCTTGTTGTTATTTCTTTTGTTTAAAAGCATACTGCTATTCTTTGATTTAGCCAATTTGTTACTTAAAGCAAAATTTTGTTTTACAATGTATCTAAAGATATGTATCTGAGCAATGCAAAGAAGTTCTTGCATATTTGGTGCATGGAAAACTAAAATTTTACTTTAGAAGATTAACTCACTGTCACCATCAACAGGCAGCTTCCTAGAGTGAAGCAATAGGCTTCTTAGGCATCAGAGGCCATATGAAAATATTATTGCAGAAATATAAAATATTTTATTGTCTACTAGTAAGTAACCATTCAAATATAAATTTATAACATTTTTAATGTGAAGAAATATTCTGCTCTTTCTCTGTCACGGAAAAATGTCAAATTTTAGAATGGCTGGTTTAACATTATGATTATTAGACTGGTATTTTAAATTACAATCTGAAACTCCAGTGGAAATGGCTTAGTGTACTATAAACCACTTCATTACAGTTGCTCAAATACACTGTTTTATAAATTGTGCCAAAGTTCATTTTCAGAAGTAAACATTAATACTACAAAAAACAGATTCAACATAAGGAAAATAGTGCTGTGTGCAAAGAACAAGCACATAAGAATGACAGTTATGCAACAGCAGTTATAACATTACACATACTGAAGACTAATTACAGAAGGGTAACATTATTTTAACAACATAAAGTCATTTGGGCAGGATCAAGAACTTTCCAAATGTCTCCAAACACTTTTAGGACCTCCGAATATACTTTGTGGGGATAAGAGGGAACAAAAAGAAAAGGCACTTAACCAAAAGCCTGAATCAAGTAAGTTGGAGGAGTAACTCCATTTAGAGATAGAACTAAAGTATATATATAAAAAAATCTAAAGGTCATACAATAATAATTGCATACACATTTTATGTTATCTATTTATTACTCTAATCTTGGTGTTAAGTTTTTGGAAAATAAAAAGTGGTCTGTGACCTCCAACATAACAAGTTATGTAAATAGCTAGGTTAAAAAAACTTTCCAAAATTTAACGATTTTTTTCCTGCACCGCTATTCTGAAAAATTCAAAAATAAGAGTAATAATTATATCATTTGTCAACATTCCAAAAAACTAACATCCTATTTTTTTTCTGGGGAAACAGTTCTAAAAATCACTGTGTAAACTAGATTTAAATGTATTTATAAATATAATCAAAAATATTTTAATGAATGTAGCAGCAAACATAGTAAATAACTGTGAGTCCTAACAAACTACCATCTGATTATGATTCAATGTAGCTTATAGTAGCTTGGGATTCGAGAATTATTTTAATATCAACCACTTTGGATCAAATGGAGAGGCTAAATGGAGGTTAGAGTAGTCAGCTAAGAGTTTGAAGAAGTATACCATGATTACCTGCCCCATTCATAGCCTACTGAATAAATTAAACCCTAATTTCATGGAAACAGATGTCAAACCCACAGCACCCACACCTGAGATTTTGACTCAACATTCCTATCTGTCTTGCTAGAAACAAGACTATATAAAAGGCTGAAAAAGGAATGATTTTAATCCATCAAATATTATCTCGGGGATGAAAGTATGCATTGTTAAGACAGTTCTTTGTTCATTGTTTATATACTCTCCCTATATTTCATAAAGATCCAAGATAACTTAAGGAATTGCTAACTGTCGCCATTGGGACAAGAAACACATAATTTAAATGATTCTGAAATTCAAAACCTGTATGTAAAAATTATTGCTTATATTTGAGGCTCAGTGTAAGATCATTATTTTAGCCCTAACTCTCAAAACAATTTAAATTCAGAACGAAAACTGTACCTTTTTTATTGCTTGTGAATACTGAAAAGATTTAACATAAGAGCTATTTAACTCTCCAAATACATTTTAAGACAAACTAGGCTGTTAAAAATATCTAAATTAAAAATTGCTATGCAGGAAGTATATCTCTCTTGCATTGTAATGGTGCTGATATTCTATCTGCTTTTTTCAGTTCTGATTATCTTTTTTAAGTCCTTATGTCCATTGTAGAGAAGCTCATGGAGTTATTGTTTAGATTTATTCTAATCATAAAAATCTTGTTTATTGAGAACATCAGGAGTAATTGTTTTCTATCATTTATTTCATGGCATTATGTCTCCAGATACTCGTTTGCTATTAAGCTGGAAAGAGCTGAACTCTCTTCACATATTTAGCAAAACAAAGAGGCCCCAACTGCATGCCATGTAATAAGAATCATAAATTCAAATCAATCAATGTGCTTCCATTAAATTCTACATGGCAAATACTGAAGACCAACTAAAAAGCCACTTGTGTTATTTGATTTTATGAGAAAAATTTCACTCTTTTAATATAAACATAAACCATTTTCTGCCACCAAATATTTTGCTTTAAATTTATGGAAAAACATAATCAGAAACATATAATTCCTACTAATTCTATTCTGTACTGTGTATTATTTCTAAAAGGGTAAAAAGGTGTGGAATCAAAAAGTAAATCTCTATTTTAAAATGTTTTACCTTTCACACTTTCTATCATTGCGTATAAGGGAAAACTAAATCTAAAAGTTACTAACTACTTAATATTTAGCTTTCATGATGTAATATGGAATGTCAGGGTCTTATTATGCTTCTTTTTTAATGATAATTTCATTTTTATTTTAAAACCATTGTTTCAAATATAATTTTTTATTTTAAATCTTTTCTTCCAAATATATTTTTTTATATGTGCTTATGTGTGTGCATGCTTAAATATACAGATTTGAAGTTGCCAAAAGGAAACAACTTATGTAACAGTAAGTCTCTCAGTGAGAACTGTATATTTGGCTATTTGTAGGATATGCTCATGGAAAATATTTTGCTTACCTTTGAAATGAAGTAAATCAATCAAGACAATAAAATTAACCTATTAATATTGAAAGGAGAAGAAACAAAGGCTTTGCAGATGCAAAAACATGCTGAACTTTGTAGTTTCTTGTACCAAACTATCAAACAGTTATGTTTTTTTAACCTTGTATCAAGATTGATTTGACTATTTTAAATCCATATTTTGTGCAAGTTTTTTTAAAAATTAATAGGGTCAACCCAACATTCAGTTACTATGTTTATATTATATATTATTTAAATATACACATGTTTTACAAATATGATAAGTAGTAATCTGAATTAGTAAGATTAGTTACCTGGCATTTAAAGATGAAATAACATATCTTTGTAAACTTGGTAACTAAATACATGTCTGTCACAAAACAGCAGAAGAGTTATCTTGGCCACCATACAGTAAAACTATATGCACATAAAAAGAAGAATTCTATAGGAAGCCATAAATATTACTGAGTTTCATACTGTAGCAATTAATGCTGCTCAATAGATACAGATAGTTGTCTTTTAAAAATGTGTTTCCCTTTAGAGCAGCACAAGAGATTGCAGTTGGAATTAAATAAGCCTCCAGCAAAACATGCTG